TAGCTTGATTCTGCACGCGGGTGGATGCATTCCATCGCTTCTGTGCGATTCGTCGATCTCGTCGCCTCGCTGGTTCGTCGGTTTGTGCCGAGCTATGCTAGGGGACCTATAAGCAATTTTATATGCCTACAATGATAGCTGCGCATAACCAAGGTAACAATGTTTAAAACAAATATAAAGATTAATAGCTGCGCATAACAAACTTCAACATAAAGGTAACAGTGCATAACTAAAGGTGGCAAAATTCAAAAAAAGGATGACAAACTATTGTTATATTGCTAGTGTTAACACAACAAATAAAAAACAAAGGTAATTAAGCGAAAGGTTCATGATTAAAGGTGACAACCCACAACCTAAAGATAACAAAATCTGAAGGTGGCATAAATAAAGATAACAAAGTTACACTAAAGATAACAAGTTAGACATGAATGTGCCAATTCATAGCTAAAGGTAACAAATATAAAAAAAGTAACAAACATCGACACAAAAATAACAATAATTAATAAAGATAAAAACAATTAACCAAAAAGTTCATAGCTAATGGTGGCATACTTCGATTTAGCAATAATAAAATTGAAAGGTAATAAGCATAAAAATTATGCTAAAGGTAACATGTTAAATAGAAAGGTAATAGCTATAACAAATTAGAAGTGAATGTAACATTTAATAACTAAAGATAACAAACTATGACATAAAGGTAACAATTTATAGCTAATGGTGACAAAGTTCAATACAAAGATGACAAACCTCGACATAAAAATATTAAATAAAACAATTTAGGTAACACAACTAAAATAAAGGTTCATAACCAAAAGGGGCAAAAATTGACCTAATTGAAAGATATATAAATATAAAGATAAAGGTGACAAAAGTATGCTAAATGTAGAAAATTAGACACAACGGTAACAATTCTATCTAAAGGCAATTATCAACAATCTTAAAGAACTTAAATCATAATAACACAAGATGCTAAGCATCAACATTAACGAAAAAAGCTACATAATTAAAATGATTTTTTTGGGGAAAATTGCAATGGAAGTCGAAGAAAAAAAGGAGAAGGAAAAAACCTCTAAATTCTATATGGTATTCCATAAGTATCAGCAACTGAATCCATTCAGATTGGAGACAATTACCTGCAATAAAAATGGTAGAAATTTATCACTCATGGCTAAATGGACTACGCATAAGAAGATCATAATTTCACATAGTGAGAATGAACAAAAACATTTCTTAATTTCTATGTGTATCATAAAATTAAAGAATATTCAAATCTCTAATTTTTTCGACAGAGGAAAGAGAGAGAAAAATGAAGCCAAATTTTGAAAAACCCAAATTGAACTTAATCAAACCCTACAATGGAAGTCGAAGAAAAAAAGGAGAAGGAAAAAACCTCTAAATTCTATATGGTATTCCATAAGTATCAACAACTGAATCCATTCAGATTGGAGACAATTACCTGCAATAAAAATGGTAGAAATTTATCACTCATGGCCAAATGGACTACGCATAAGAAGATCATAATTTCACATAGTGAGAATGAACAAAAACATTTCTTGATTTCCATGTGTATCATAAAATTAAAGAATATTCAAATCTCTAATTTTTTTGACAGAGGAAAGAGAGAGAAAAATGAAGCCAAATTTTGAAAAACCCAAATTGAACTTAATCAAACCCTAAAAATATATATATATATATAATTAAAAAAAGTTTTTGTGGCCTTTCATATGTATCCTTATATTGCAGAGGTAGCATATCCCATGTTTCTTCAATGCATTGAAGAATAATAAGAATCTAACCAACTATTTACTCCTCTTTCTATAATTAAGCATAGATTTCCTGAAATATCTAGTTATATTCAAGTCCTTTTTTTCTTTGAAATGTCCTCTTCATTATCATAGGGAACTCTTTTGAGCTTCAAACCAAGATCCAATTTGTAACTGAAAGGGGTTGACTAATATCCCAAAGCCTTGGCTACGACTTCCATTTGATTTACATTGTCACTATCCATTCACAATGTTTCCTTTTTATGTAGTTAATAGGATATGCACTTTAGTATATTTGTCAATATTGATTATACTGTAACCAACATTAGCAAAATGTGAAAAAGGCTAAGCCCATAGTAGTGAAAGAAAGATTCAGAAGAAATTCATAAGAAAAATGCTAATCGAGAGGATTGAAAAAAGCAACTTTAACACTACAAATCCAAATATAACTAAAAAGGGTTTTTTAGATATTAGCCCCCCAAAACTTCAAAAATTCCATATTAGTCCCTCAAATCATTGAAATTGCTAATTAGACCCTCAAATTTTGTGGGGACTTGAGGCTAACATGTTAACCAATAACCAAAACTATTGAGGTGATTGGCGGCAAATCACCATCGCCTCATTGGAGATCGTGTTGTTAGAAATCCTGAGAAAATGAGAGGATTTTGGAAGGATTTGTTAAATGTGGTCCTGCTACATCCTAATAATACAAAACAAATTACTAAAATTCAGAAAATATGAAAAAAATGTAACTCTTAAATATTCGAAAAAATAAAAAAGTAAAAATACTAATATATTCCATTTTAAATACAACATACATAATAAGCGGGCCCAAAAAAAAATAAAAAAGTAAAAATACTAATATATTCCATTTTAAATACAACATACATAATAAGCGGGCCCAAAAATCCCTTTCTGCTTTTATCTATTTCTTTACAAATACACAAGAATTCTTTGATTCTCTTTTCAAATCTAACTTTCATTCCACTACCCTACAAACCAAACATAAAGCTAAAATGTAGGATAGGCAATAATTCTTTGAAATCCAACATTGCCATAAATCCAAAATACAAATCTTAGAGCCAAACATCCCCTCATACACCTGTATATGTGGCTATACATAAAGATATATCCATAATTGAGCATTAAGAAACCATCAAAAGTAGGTACCAGTCTATCGTACAAACTCAATTAATCATCAGCATAATTGAGCATTAAGAAACCATCAAAAGTAGGTACCAGTCTATCGTACAAACTCAATTAATCATCAGTAGCACAAAGTAAACAATTTAACAAGAAAACAGATAAAACCTTGAGCTGCTCCCTTTCAGCTGATGAACGAAAGAACCCACGTTCTGGAAGTCCACAACTGGCTGATCTCTGCACACATAAATTCTCAAACATAAAATCCAAAAAAATTAACCAAAATCAACAACTTCACACCAAAATTACCCACAAACTTACATCAAGCTGCTCAGCTCTGAGATCATCCTATTAGAATCATCACAAAACAACTTAATCACCTCAACAAGGAATTCACCCCCGTCCTCTTCCAGCATTAGCAGCTGATTAAACTGCTGATCCAACAAACCCTAGAAATCGACAAACCCAAGGACGCACCGGATGAAGTCGAGGCGGCGGAGGCGGGAGAGGCGGCGGAGGGCGAGGGTGTGGAGGGGGCGGTCGGAGTAGAAGCGGGGGAGGTGGGAGGAGGACTCGAGGAGGTCAGCGATGCGGTCGGGCTCGGACTTGATGGCAGAGAGGGGTTTAGGATTAGGGCCATGAGGGTATGGGAGAGAGTATGGGAGGGTACGTGAGTAACCGATGGAAGGAGAAGGAAAGGAACGAATGTTTAGGGCTTTACATCTTCTGATTTGTGAGTAAGGGGAAAAAATTTATCTTTCTTAAGTTAATGTTAAGTTAATGAAATAAAAGATGAGGACAACTTTGTTATATTTGAAAGTTTTTTTGGAACTCCCTCTTTTAAAGGGTAGATATAGATATATAGATAGATAGATTTGGGAATTTCAATTAAAAGTTCATCAGAAAACTTGATCAACGTAGTTCATTGGTATCAGAGAGCCTCTTTAGGATGGTTTTGATTATCAAACTTTAAATTCGGTTTTCATATTCACCTCTTCTGTTAAGAGTTTCCTGAAGAAGCCCCGTAAGGAAGCCTGACGGATAAGCGTCCAGTACAGAAAAATGAAGCCCAGATACATAAGAGGCCCATTGGAGTAGATCGACGCGGTCAAGTGTTTTGTGAAAGAAACCATGACTCCAACATAAAGATTTAATTTAGGATTTCAGTTGATCAGAGAATAGCCAGAGTCAAATACGTCGGTGCAAATTAATGCCGACCGCCTTCTTAATGTTTTGTTGATTGACCAACTTACTAATGATGCAGAAGAATGTAAGAAAGAAACTTGAATAGATTTTGCTTATTTTTGAGTAGTGGTGTTCGATATATTAACCAAATTTATTACTCACGTCTTAATTCTTCACCAGGTTCTCGCCTTTGTCTTCAGCCAAGTGGGCGGCGGCAGATTGGTGAGCTTCACATTTGGTTTCATTTATTTATTTTTCATAACTTTATTCACAAGAATACAGATTTGTACTAGGTTTCTCCTTCATTGATTAACTTGGAACTTTCTAAATTTTTATATTTTTATATTTATAGATGCAGTCCCTCAGCCAAGTATTTGGTTCAAGATTTGAAAATTCATCTGAAAAGATTGACCGGTCACAGGAGATGCAATAACGCCAATAGAAGCTGATATAGATCTTTATGACATTTTTGGACTCTAACGAATTGGATCTCACACGAAGTTCATTACGTATGATCAATCAAACTTTTGGTAGGAAAACTTACATATTTTCCATGGAAGTTGTTAAATTTTTTTTTTTTTTAAAAGGATAATCAGTTGGTGTTGTATTTTGCATAAATAGTAATGAGAAAGTATTTAATGTGAATGGTCTATGTTATTAAATGTGTACTTAAAAGATGTAACCATAAAATAAATGTACTAATCTTGAGATTTAAGAATCAAATATTAACCTTCATTTGATTCACATGTGATGCCATATACTCGGGGACGCTTGATATTTTTTCTCAAAAATAAGCTACTCCAAGCTCTTGATGACATTCATAACTTGCTCGATGAAATTCGTGCAGTGCCGACTGTGATTGATTAATTCAACTATTCATTGACGACAAAGGTACATTTTTTTTTGGTAAGCCATCTCCTCAATGACATGCACGCTTAAAAAGTCATCAGTATATGGTTAATCTCTTATCAAATCCAAATTTCTGTTTAAATGGCTGATCACCACTTCAATTATTATGGAAATCCCTCATGCATTCTTATGGACCATCATCCTATGGAAATAAGGAAAACACAATCTAGTGGTCCCCACAATTACTAGAGGGCCGTAAGGAATGTCTACAATTGGGAGATTGGGAAATTACTGCATTAATCCCATAAGGAGAAATAAAAATGTCATTTGTATTGTGCATAAGTTTCACCAGATAGTTTTGAACCATGAACACATTGTATCAATCAGGAGAAAACATCTAGTGAGGACGGTCCGTATCATTAAATGTGCACTCAATAAATGTAAACTATTGGATCCGTGCATGAATCCTGATGTCCAATAATCTGGCGATTAACATTTATTTAGTGCATATTTAATGTTGTGCATCTGAGACCATTAGATACTATCTCATAAATCAGCGTGGCTCCCCCAATGATCACGGCTTAATCTGGATCCATCATTAAGCCACGTTGAAATATTTTCAAGCATCACTGTTGTCTAATTTTGCACTTTCGTTTTGCAGCTTCTTTAATCTAAACATCAACTAACCCCTAAACATATTCAATGACGGGCTACTGACTAAATGGCTTGAGCACAAATAGCCGTCCAATAATTAGGCCTAAATGATCAAACGGACGACAGAGACCGATCAATAGTTAATCATATCAAATGAGCTTGGGTTCCCCCACATTAATTACTGACGCAACACGGAAGTAGTAGCTTCGGAATCCATCAAGGACAATCTTCGAATCCACGAAGTAAATATTGAAAAAAAAAACGAAATTTAATTAATTAAAAGTTATGTCTCTAGGGTTTACAAGATTCTACTTAAATAGAAAAAGAAACAAGACTTCTACAATGACTCAAACTTTACCAAAAATAGTAAAAAAATTCCTAAAACATTAAAACTTCTAAAAAGACTCCTTATGACTAGAAAATTCCACCAGTCAAATCAGAGATCAAATTGGATTTGTTTCCTAATCAATACAGACTCCTAAAAAATTACTAAAAATAGTAAAAATCAGACAAAAATACAGATATCTCTCAAACCGTAAGAAATTTAACACAACGGAGAAAGCAAACCAAACCCTGCATGTTGGTTTGGATGGTTTCGTCTCGTTGAGATGGTCGATTTTCATATATAATTTGTCCAATTCTGACGTACGGTTTGAAAGTTATGACCGTTTCTTCGTAGGAATTTATTTCGTTGACCGGGCCCGCGTTTGAGCTTTCAACTGTCCCACTTTGACATAAACATGTCTGTCATGCGTTCTACATCAATTACGTACAGAAATATTAATTTAAGAAATAATAAATTACATACAGAAATGAGGTTGGGGGAACGAACAATTGCATCCTTCTTTTAAGGGCGCTGGGCCACACTATGAACCGTGGAGGATAGGCATTGATCATCATGGGCCCATGTTTGTAAGAGCTGCATTGATAGGTTGACGGTTACCATTGCATTAAAACTTCGATTTTTACCTCTATAGTCATTCTTTTGTTGCTTTTTGCCTTGCGCCTTAAAGCCGTTCATAAATTTTTGTACTAAATGTCAAGAAGACGGGACAATAGCGCGTGGATGTAAATTTGAGCAGGGCTCAATCCAAACTCAACAAACCCATAATTTCTAGAAGCGAGGGTTTATCTGAAAATTTTGACACGCGTGTAAACATTTTTGTTTCTGTCTTTTATGCATGCAAGCTGATGCAATCCGATCCGCATCATGAATAATGCTAGCTTCTTTTTGGAAATATAAATTGAGATATAGAGAAAGAAAAATTCCCCAAGTACCCAAAATATGAAACCAACAAGGGGACATGTAATGTGTCCCCCTCCTATTGCATAATGAGCTGACCATCGTTAATGATGGCTAGCTCATTATGCAATTGAAGGGGGATGTTAATCCCATATTTTGGATCACTGTAGCAAAGTTTCTAGAGAAATGCCGAAAATAAATGAATAAATAAATAAACGGTTAGGGATGAGTTGGACGACCTGACATGCAATAAACAAACATTATTGGTTCTCTAGGAAGCTGCAACGCTCGGCAGCTAAGGTTGACAAATGACAATGGCAACATTTACGACGGTGCATAACATTTTATCACAGCTTGCAATCATATGAGCAAAAATGGGGAAGATAAACATAGAAGACCAAAAATATAAAAGGTCGAAAAATAATGAGATTTAGTCATACTATATATAGATAACGTTGCGTACAGGTCCTACCTTTGAAATGGGAGGAAAATTAGTACCACCTGTTGAATTATTAGAGCCTATAAATAACATTTTATAACTCTAATTACATTTCAATAATGAGCGCATCCCACGGAGCCCACAACAGCAGGCAGCGGCCCAACCGGTCTTTCATATCAATGATTTCCTTCATAGGATGATGGCAGTAGCCAACACTCCAAAAATAGCACAAACCTCACTCACTACTCTCAATCTTTTAGTAATCCCATCAATCAACACAACCTCAAGACCAAATAATAATCAAGAAGGAAAGAGAATACGGATTGCAATCATGATTAGAGTCAGGAACCACTCAGTTGATCATATTCACTTATTAAAATTAATAACTTAAAGATTGTCTGTATTCTTAGATTAATTTGAGCTTGAGGATAAATACATTAATTCAAGAAAACATGTTTCCTTGGACCACCAACCATCTAGTGAATAAGTTTCGCCGGTTAGATTCCTCGGGGGTCGATAAGACACATGCAAGTACGCTATTAATGTGCACACCTCACAAGGCAGACTTTGGGATCAGGGCAAGCTGATAGTTTTTTGAATTTTAAGGACAATGCCAACCATCTAATGATATAGTAATGAATACCTGTTCACAAGAACCCCCACTGAGAGCCAAATGGGAAAATGGAGGATCTTCAGCCTCACATGCAAGTCAACACCCATAATAGTCTATGACAATGGCCTCCCTCCCACCTTCCCTCATTGAATTAAGAAACCCAACACTAGGTCACCCTAAATTTTTTCCTCCTAAGCCAAGATCAAACATAACAAAGGATACTTTGGTAACTTGTTAATGATCAAGAAAGTCTACTTCCTTGTTCTTTTCTCAACCATAGCAGCAACTGGCCCAATATTAATAGGCATTCCCCTGCCTGCTTTCAAACCCTTCTAAGCTCAATTCAAGCCATTCAATCTCTCACATTTTCTCCTCACTTTCAGACCATGAGAGTTCAAAGACCGCCTCCGCCACCTATGTCCTTCTTCCTTCTAGTATTGCTACTGGTTGGGCAATTTGCTAGTCAGAGCCATGGCCGAAGAATTGTTGAGCGGAAGGGGAGAGGAGGCGAATCATCTCCATCCATCGGGTACTTCTCCAAGATATCCCCATCGCAGGGGCACAATGAAGATGATCTCGACCCAGTCTATGGAAACTCCAAGAGATTAGTGCCTCAGGGTCCAAATCCCCTACACAACTGATCAGGTTCTGTCGTAGGCTCGTAGCCCAAGCAGAAGAAGTACACAATAGGCTTGTAATTTTACACAGTTTAACTTGATAGTTTTTTTTTTTGTTTTTGCTTTATGAGAGAAGAATACAACAGCTAGTGGGAACAAATTGTAATCTTTAGATTTCCTTTTTCTTTTTTTTTTCTTTTTTTGTTCAAAGAGAGTACGTATTTGTTTGATTAGGTATAGATAATATTACATGATGACTGTAAATTAAGGTGTCATATATTTGGGAAAAAAAATCAAGTTGAGTTATCACCAGAAGCTTTTCCTGATTGAAGCGTGCAGATGTCTCGCAACACCTAAAATTAATCGAAGTATAATTAGCACATATTTTACCATTGAAATGTATCTGCAACTTAACCAAAAAGCTTTCATGAGACTTGACAGCTGAGTGCAAAAGATGGAAATTTTAGTCTCTCTAGGTTGTTTCAATTACAAAGGATGATAGTAGGAAAATAGAAAACAAAAGCAACATTTGATAAGCATAGTTATAATGACAAAGAGTAACACAAAGGACAGAGCTACATGCAAATAAACTTTACTTGGTTTCTTCTTGCTGTGGGTTACATCTATTGCTTCCTCCTTATTTCATTCAGCCTTTACAAACTAGGAAAGAGACAAATGAAGTCTAATTCTAAACAAAAATGATTGCCTAACACATTGTCCTTTTCATCGCAACATGGTGAGGATAAGCTTCTTTGGCTTTTGATAAGCTGCACAAAATAACAAAATGATTGTCCTTATATGATGCAAGTTTAATTTGATCTTTTCCTAAGCAAATGCGAACATAAAATCCTTTCTTGCAACATTATCTATTAATTAAGTATGCATGAAATACGAATAAGATGATACCAAGTTATGCATAGGTCATTGACACATGAATTTGCACGCAAGTTTGTGATGAACTGTTCAGGTTGTTTTAGCTATTTTGTAGAATATAAAAAGAACTGCAGAAGCAGTAAGTATATACAAAGTAATTCCACAGACATAAATTAATAGCTAAAAAAATTGTGAGCTAAGATTTTAACTTGATACTCGTAACAAAAGAATTATATTGTTTTTAAGAAAACCAATCATATATAAAGAACAAAGACAAAACCATCCATTGGAAAACCCTAACCTGAAATATAGAAGAAAGGCACAAGATTAATATTTTCTTTCCACTTGGAAAAATGGAGACAAAGTGGACAAGGTTGAAGAGATGGTGCTCAGGATCAGGTTTTTCAGGCAAACAGGTTGGCGGTCGACCGGTGCGGTCGACCGCATTCGTGCACAGGAGTTTCTGGGCATCAGGATTGGTGGCGGTCGACCGACACAGTCGACCGAAGATGGTAGCGGTCGACCGACGCGGTCGACCGCCGAACTCTCTGGAATTTGGATCAGCCGCTGGATGGAGGGCGGTCGACCGGGCCGGTCGACCGCCGCTGCGGTTTTTGAGTTGGGCCTGTTTTCAGACCCGCTTCGTTTTGGATTTGTATAAATACCCTTTGGGTGTTTTTTAGGGTGAAGAGCGAGGACGAATTTGAGCTGATTGAGAGAGTTTTCTTTGGGCTTCTATTCTAGGAGCAATTGGAGATATTGAGAGTTGATAGTTGAGGGTTTATGAGAGATTTGTAACCCTAGTTTGTTCCTCTTGATTTCTAATAGTGAAAACTCCCCCCTCCTTGCCCCGTGGACGTAGGCATCTTGCCGAACCACGTAAAACTGGTGTTTGATTGTTTGTGCTGTTGATTTTGGTTGGTTGTTTATCTTTCTCGGCGATTGTTTTGGTTTCTCGAGGCGTAACAATTGGTATCAGAGCTCCGGGCTACGCTTGGGCTATTTTGGAGGAGTAGATCGCTTTGGAAGTTCATCTAGGACTTCGTTTGGTGATAAAGGTGGGATCTTTTCAGTAAAAATCTCGTCTTTTTTCAGTTTGGATCTATTTCTCGTTTGTTTCCGCATTGGTTTGGTGGTGTTTTGAGATATATGGCTGAAAAAGATAAAAGTGGGGAGGGTTCTTCTGGTGTGAAGGCCGTCCAAAGTTTGAATATACATTCTATGAAAATAGATGTGGAAAAGTTCAACGGCACAAATAATTTTGGACTTTGGCGATGCGAAGTCATGGATGCGCTAAATGCGCAAAATTTGGAAGATACATTGGAGTTGGACGGAAAACCGGCCGACGTTGATGAAATTTGAAGAGGAGGCTTTATCGCTTCCAATTGAAGAAGGGGATATCCATTAGTGATCATATGAACCACTACACGAAGCTACTTGCAGATTTGGCGAATGTAGATGTCATTGTTGAAGACGAGGACAAGGCATTGTTGTTATTGAGTTCCTTGCCCGACGAGGAATATGAAACCTTTGTCCTCACTCTTATTAATGGGAAGGCATCACTTTCGTATGGTGAGGTCACTGCAGCCCTTGTGAATTATCAACTTCGAAAGAAGGACAAAGAGACTTCCATTGAGCCGGTTGCGGGGGCATTGGTTGCAAGAGCTAAAAGTCCAAACCGTAGAAGAAGGTCGCAGTCTAGAGGGGGGCATCCTGTAGTTGGTAGGAATCAGTGTGCCTTTTGTAGAGAGGATGAACATTGGAAAACCGAATGCCCAAAATTGCAAGCTGTGAAGAATAAAGGGAAAGCTATTCAAGCTTCAGAGGTAAATATTGCCAAGGCTAGTGGCGATGTTTCAGATTCAGATTCTTCGGGCTATTCGTGCCCAGCTCTTCCGTCAGTTGATGTTGCCGACTCCACCGAGTGGATGTTGGATTCTGGTGCTACTTACCACATATGTCCTAGAAGGGATTGGTTCTCAAGCTTTCAGGAGTTGGAAAGAGGGGATGCTGTTCTCATGGGTAATGATCACAGAAGCCCTATTGGTGGTATTGGTACCGTTCAGATTCGGATGAGTGATGGGATGATCCGGGAGTTGACTGATGTGAGGTTCGTTCCTCAACTGAGGAAGAACATCATTTCACTTGGGGTATTGGAGGCATCAGGCTATAGGGTGATCTTGGTGGATTCTCGCTTGAAGGTCACATCGGGGTCCATGATTGTGATGAAGGGAGTCAGACGGAGTAACTTGTATTATCTGTTTGGGAGCACGATAGTTGATAGGACGCTGACTACTTCTATGGCTAGACTGTGGCATTGTTTGGTGCTGGGATATATTATTGGTTATACCGTGCACAGATTGTTGAGGAGTGCTATGACCTGCAGATTGAAGTCCTGTGAGCACATTGGTATGAGCGAGAAGACCGAGGTGGAGTTCAGCACTTCTATCCATCGATCGAGAGGTCTTATTGGAGGTGTTCAGTCAGGCATTGGGGGGCTTTCCGAGGAGGCATCATCGGGAGGTAATCGTTATCTTGTTTCCTATGTTGGGGATTGTACTAGGCATATTTGGGTTGCAACCAAGTCCCGTTGGTATAAAGCCCTAGTAGTCCGCAATAGTTGGAGGAGGTGTATGAGCAGAAATGTTACCAGTCGTACTTATTCTAGTATGAGTCCTTTCTTGCATTGGTGCCGAGCTCATGGCAGTGGGAGACACTTCAGAGGAGAGGAGACAGTGGGGCGACGTGTTGAGATGGCAGATATAGTGGGCCGTTCTTTTCTGGAGGAGGATCGGTATTGGTTGTCGAGCAGTGGATCTGGTATTCGGGATTCGACACGATTGGGCTATCTTATGAGGTTGCCGACTGCTGCGTATAGAGTTGTTAGATCTGGTGGAGCTGTTTCAGATTTTGGTCGGCATCGGATATTTGGCTACCCAGCACTTGGTCACATCGTTGATGTGAGGTTGGATCCGATTGCGCAGTTGGGATTCAGGAGTTCATTCGGCTATCAGTTGGGAGCTTCTGAGTTTGGTCTGAGCAGGTTTGTCACTTTGGACTCTCGGCAGGTGGAGAGTATTGATCAGGTCAGAGGGATATCGCAGCGGGTGGAGGTTGATGCTACTCCACATTGGGTGGGGATTTTCCCACATACTCCAGGTCATTCTGCATTGGTTGGGATTCCAGCTGAGGTGACACAGCGTGAGAGTCATTTATTTATGGGTACAGATGATGAGGCAGTTGATTTGGATGCAGCTGGTGGATATATTTTGGATACGACCATTGTTACATCTCAGGTGGAGGTGTTGGACTGTTTTCAGATTGGGGTTGTTGATGATGCTATCAGCCGCAGGTTGGATTGAGGGCCTTTGGAGGCCCATAGGGTGAACTACGTGAAGGCTTGATTCCTTGGGCAAGAGGATACGTAGGCAGTCTTTATGATGCAGCCGATTTGGTGAGCGACATCGATATTTGGGGTGAGTGTTTGCACTCCCATTTGGGTCTCAGCAAGTGAGGCATTTGGTGTAGTCGGTGTAGGCTCAGTTGTTTGGTGAGTAGACACAGTTGGTTTGGGGTTGAGTGTTCGCACTCCCGTTTGGATCCCGACGCGGTCGACCGATACGGTCGACCGCATTCGTGCACAGGAGTTTCTGGGCATCAGGATTGGTGGCGGTCGACCGACACAGTCGACCGAAGATGGTAGCGGTCGACCGACGCGGTCGACCGCCGAACTCTCTGGAATTTGGATCAGCCGCTGGATGGAGGGCGGTCGACCGGGCCGGTCGACCGCGATGGATCGCGGTCGACCGCCGCTGCGGTTTTTGAGTTGGGCCTGTTTTCAGACCCGCTTCGTTTTGGATTTGTATAAATACCCTTTGGGTGTTTTTTAGGGTGAAGAGCAAGGACGAATTTAAGCTGATTGAGAGAGTTTTCTTTGGGCTTCTATTCTAGGAGCAATTGAAGATATTGAGAGTTGATAGTTGAGGGTTTATGAGAGATTTGTAACCCTAGTTTGTTCCTCTTGATTTCTAATAGTGAAAACTCCCCCTCCTTGCCCCGTGGACGTAGGCATCTTGCCGAACCACGTAAAACTGGTGTTTCATTGTTTGTGCTGTTGATTTTGGTTGGTTGTTTATCTTTCTCGGCGATTGTTTTGATTTCTCGAGGCGCAACAAAGGTAGAGATTGCCCATTATTGTTGAGTACAATATTTCACTTGGAATACACCTCTACTCACTGGCAGAGTCCCATATTATTCCGGTGGGGCAAGTCTCCTACCTAACACTGAGGAACTCTTATGGGGACAACCTTTTCCTTATTTTCACTACCTTTATTTCTGTAATTTTTTCTCAAGCAAAGTGTAGAGAGAACTAGAAGTAGGATATAGGTAACAAATTCTTAGATTGACCATGATGCATTCCAGAATTAACCGTCTGCTTCCTCCTTGAATTCACTTATACTAACATATTCTTCACGTGTCAGTGAGGGCCAGGTGCGTACAGTTATTCTGTTCTCTTAATCATGACGCAACTTTATTAAGATGAATATAATATTCAAAAGCACAATATAAGTATACGTAAAGATCGACATAAAACAAGAAAAACAAACTGCCAAATTGCAATGCAACTATGAGTTAACAAGCGTGCACAATGCGTAGGAACCATCTAATACATGTGGAGCATCATGCCCGATGAAGCAACAAATTTTCTGATATTTTATGCCATTGAGTTATCAAATGAAAAAGAACTTGCTCTATAACTACCTGCAAGTTACATCAATTGAGTGCCCACAGGATCAACAACGAAGTGTATCAGAAGAGTTTTTTTGGTGATTGGCTGGATCTTATGCCTCCACATCTACATTACACAAGGAACATAACATTATAAAAGTTAGATGAAAATTCAGTATATCTAACCATTTGCTCCCTAGATAATGGCCTGCTTTCAGATGACACAATATAGTCTGCTTTTAGTTTTTGATACTGCCCAAAAAAATCTTCAAATAGAAAGAGTTGACAGTGAGGGCAACTTCCAGATAATCTCAAGAAGTTCATCTTGAGATAACCCCAAAAGTGTTTTAGAAATGTCACTGAACCCCCAAAACTTTTTCAGATAACCCCAAAATGGGGTCGTATGAAAATAGATTCAAAAAATGCAAACCAGTAAAAGTTTTAGGGGTTAAGTGAAATTTCAGAACTTTTTGGGGTTATCTCAAAATGGGGCAGACTTCTTGGGGTGTTTTGTGAAATTTACCCTAAAAGGAGAAAGGAGAGGGAGTGGGGAATAGGGAGATACGTGGAACTGCCAGACGATTCAAATCACATAAAAAACTAAAAAAATTAACATGTTTGTATCCAGCAGGATAGGTAGGACTAGTCTCCTCTGATTAGGGTCAGAAAATGTTGCTGTCAATCCCTTCAATGAGCCAGAAGGTCATGACAGTGGCTGCAGGCAAAGAAGCAAGGTGGAAGCACCAAACTTATAAGCATGTGGGCTAGACCCAAGGCAGTTTTACCACTCATATATCTCCACCCCAAGAAAACATAGCAATTTGACAACCTCGCACATAAAAGAAGCACACAATCATGCAAAGAATGACTTGATTTGACAGACGAAAGGGAATACAAGAACCGGAGACCAAACAAGACATGTCAGCAGAAGTTTAGCAGGGAACGAAATAACTAAAATCCACCAGCATAATTTCACCCTGGGGATAACCACAGGAAAGCATTTGGTAATGCATCTATCCAAGTTGAGTAAGCTTTTCTAGCAACCATACTACTAGAAAATAGGAAATAAAGTTGTATACACGAGCTTTCATTATGAAGTAGTCACCGACCTCCTTGTACTCTGAGCTGCCTCTGAAAATTTCCAAGGCATCCACTGCAAAAGACAAAAAATCCCAAAAGAAACAACAATAAATAAGTAAATAAGCATTAAAATCCTTGGATGCAACAGTCTCCTCACATATATCCCAAAAAAAAAAGGACACGTTTTATTGAAATTCATAGACAATAGCATGCCTTCGAATAAATACATAGATAGTAGCATGAGTGTACTTACATGATGGAAAGCGTATTACTGCAGCATGAGTGTATATGCTTTCTGTTTTGTTGAAATTCAATCCTGAGGATTAAAAATATAACATAGACAAAAGGAAATTGGTTACACAGGTAAACAAGAGACATGTTTCTCATAATGAAATATGTATCATGGGGTACAGCCTGAACCCAATGTAATCACAAACTCCCTTTATAATTTCCAGAAAGAGTAAAACAGTCAAAGCGCAGTTAGATGTATTGGAATCATCATCTTGAAAAAAAAATCTAATCTGCACCAGAGCAATAGATCTTCTCTCCTAAACATGACTTGAAAGTAAAAGGGACTTAAAGATTAAAAATGTAATAAAACGGGAACTACTATACTATATAATTTACAGCACATGCCTAAGCAATTATTTCTATTGTAGTATGCATCTCAGTCAGGAATGAATTAACGTTAAAAGCCGCAAATTATTCACTAAAAATGAACATACCAACAAATGAATACTATATAATTTACACCATATGCCTCAGCATTGGTTTGTGTTGTAGCGTTGCATCTCAGTCAGGAGTGAAGTAATGTTAAAAACCATAAATTATTCACAAAAACTAAGCATACCAACAAATGAATGTACCCCGATAAGATAAAATAGGAAAATTATCTTCTTCAAACTTTTACATTGAAATTTCAAAGTCTAGATTTTCTCTCTATAACATCGCTTCCATGCATGATTTACTTAAACTTCTGAATGCAAATAAGTATATTTAAATTTCCACAATTAATACAAAGCACAAAAACATTGTTGGTTAATATAACAGCTTATTGAGGAAATCGGACAATTTGATTTATTAACATATTCCAAGTTCCTCAAACGCAAATGCTGTTAAGTATGAATTGCAAGAGGAAGCAAGCAGAACTTATGTAACATAATGCATGACTGCAAAGTCTGAATTGCAAGAGGAAGCAAGCAGAACTTATGTAACACAATGCATGACTGCAAAACTTAGTAGATGGACATGGAAAACTCGTGATGATTTTCTAAGTAATTCAATAATAATTTATAGAAGCAGTGCCTTAGCTGTAGTTATTGCTTACATTTTAAATCAATTGCAGGAATAATAATGCTTAGAGGCATTGATACTAGACCGGCTTAAAGATTGTCCATAAGTTGAGGGAAAAAAACAGTTTCAGCTGTAAGCAAAGATACCTGTCTATATATCTGATTAATATTTTCAATTACTTGATATTACTTGTGTAAGAGGATATGTGAATGATCGTATTAGAAACCAAACTGGGCCAAAGCTTTCTATTTATGAACATCTACCAAAAGTTAAACTTCCTTTGTTTCCTTCATTTGTTTCAATTCCTCTGTCATCATTTTCTATCTAGAAAAGTGTGCATGCGTTCCCTAGATATCATTAGATTTATTTAAGTCTTAATGGAGGAGATAGTCTTTAACATAATTAAATGGAAGAATATGATTCATGTAGCCAGCTCGAAAATTTGTGATAAAAGCTTTGTTGTCATTTTTGGCATTGTATATTATCTCCTAAGTTGCATGGCAACGGGTATGGGTACAGGACACAGCAAATTTGTAAAAGGTAGGGTACAAGGACATGGCTATATGTATGTATGTTATGTGTATTTATATGTATTAAAATTAATAATTTACGTAAGATCAATATTGTTTTTCCATTTACATAAGACCAATATATAAGAAATAGATGTGAAGTGTAGAATATACGTCCAAGAAGTATATGAGGATTGTTTTAAATTAAAACATGTATCATATAACTGAGTATACAACTGAATAAAGACATGCATATATTCAAGAAGTGTCTAACAAGTTTTGGTACAGGTATGTGTAGGGGTATGTGTCGCAAACGGGTTCGGCACCCAATTTGATGTACTCAGATAACATATCTCTGACCTCAATGTTGTATTTCGGTACATGAATCTTTTAAATATTCAATGCAATATGATACAATATTAAGTTTTTAATCAAGATTTCAACTGTTGTAAAGTATGAGTAACCTAAGAATACCTATAAAAAAGCCTAGGTACATAAGCAACTGAGAAGGAAAGAGTATATTAGGTCAGCATCTTCTTCTATTAAATGCCTAACTGAACAAAATAATAAATTTGTATTGCTGATAAGGATGTTTTAAAAAATTGTTATAGAACGATACTCGATAGACCAGCATGCTTCAGAAGTTACAAAATTATATAACTTGAAGGCAAAAGCTGCTCTTCCTGAACTTTCCAAAGCAAGAACTAGGTAATTGAGCTGATTAATATAATAATGCCACCAAGAATTAAAAAGAAAATGAACTATAAAGCAATTTTTCACTCACCTTCTGTGGCTTGTACAATTAGTGATTGAGAGTCTGCAATTAGCCTTCTAAGAGTGGCCAGAGCATCTTCTATTGCTCCTGCAAGTGTGTTCTCAGCCATGGAGATCAATAAAATGCATTCTGCACCGTAGTTGAAATCCTGTATGCATGGGTACAATAAGTTCCTCAATCAATACCAGGCTATGTTAAGTACTACAGAGGATAAATTCAGATAGATATGCAATAGATTCACCAAAATTAAAATGAATGTTCAGAGAACATTTGCAAAGCAAGAAAATCTACTTTTTATTATCTTATTAAATAAATAATATACTATGATGAAACATATAGAATTGTCAACACTTTCAGAGGTTCGAAAAGCTTCTGAACAGAACCTCTCCTCTTCGAAATATTGGCAGGATATCATCCTCTACTTCAGATTCATAGTCCACTGATATAGTCCCCTATTAAAGGTACAACTATTATTAGTGCAATATTCTGATCTAATATGTATGCAATGTACTCAAGGAAATCAGTATAATATCAAAGACAGATGTACTAAGGAACTGGATTGGTGATTACATGCCAGAGCATACATCGCAGTATGGCATGACGTGCTCCTTAAGGACTTGTGAGTAATAAGAGTTCACATAGAACTTTGAGAGGTCTTCCTTAGTCTGAAAACGCATATATACTGCGTGAGTAAAATTATCATCATTGGGTTCTTCTATGCGTCCTGCAAAAATTAAACCTTAACTTTTTACAGTGTCAAAGATTACATCAAGAGTAAATTTATTATCTGCAAATCTTGGGTAAGAATATAATAGTCTCCCACATGAAGAGACATAATCTGTAAAGATGCATATAATTTTATGACCTTTTATAGGATGGACACAAGTGAACATATGGATCAGAAGCATCGAGCATGGCAATTATTTAGTGAGAGAATAAGCTGAAATACTTAGAAACAGATGGGACATATCAAAAATTGAAACGACAGGCCCATGTTTCCCTGTTTCATATCACTTATACTGCATATGATAGGAAGTGAGGGAGGGATAGGAAGTGAGGGAGGGAGAGGAGATATCTTGTAATTTGCCTTAGAACCATTAAAAAATGTCGATAATGTTACTCATAACTATTATGTACTTTCCCCATTTATAAATACTCTGTTATAGCAGCACAACATATTCATTCATGCAGCCGCCCATGGTTTTTCTTAAGTGAAGTTCAGAAATGTTGAATCACCCAACTTCCAAATGCAGAAGCGGTGATCATATCCCATCCCCGGTGACCATATACATAAAGCAACAAAGTAGCCAAAATGATGAATAAACGATGTGAACTAGTTTTCCAAATAGTATGCCGAACATTCCAAATTTTAGCATCATATATTCCTTTGATTAGTCGATATCAGGAGGAAAGGAAGAAGGGGGTTCGAGGAAAAGAAGAGAAAGATCATAACTAGTATATGACTTATGCACACAAAAATAAAACAAAAAACAAAAAGTACCGAATAAATGTGTACAACACCGAGCAAATATGTAAAATACTTAAAAGTGACTCACACACGAGTAGTAAATGTGACCGAAGTTCCATCCAGAATCCACTTTATTGAAGGAACATAAATTTCTACCTATCAACTCAAAATACACCATACTTAAATAATTACCTAATGATATTGCAAGAATGCCCCTCATCTGATATTGTGAAGTATAAAGATTATCCAACATATCTTTTTCTTCAACATCTGATAAGTCTGACTTGGCTCGTAAGAGAAGAATATGCTCTACAACATTTCTGCCAAATTCATTTGTTAGGGAGCTCATAATTATTAATATTTCCAATATTCCAAAAGGCAGATCAGATGAGAAGTGGTTACTATAAGAATTCACTAGCAAATCAAGGACTAAAAATTTACAATTTTTTTGCATGTACAATATTAAACAGGTAACACAAAAGAAGAAAATGGAAGCAAGATGATTTTTTGTTTCTCATGTTCCTCTGTCCACTTTCCCCCCATTTATTAGTCTCTTAAATTTCAACTTGACAAGAAACCGAAAGCACATTAGTGAGAAGCAAATACACCAAAATAGGGAAGATATTCTGTATGATTTTCCACTTTACTAATTTTTAGTGTTAAAGCTATTGGTTTATGTAAAGTTGTGCCTATGCACTTTAATTGGGAAGGTTGATCATTGAGCATCATGTCTTATTTTATGCCTTAGAGATGAATGTGATTGTAGAAGATTATATCACCTTGCCCATGTTAGGGCTAGCAAAATTTGAAATTAAGCTCCTTGGTTGCATGAGCTTATCTGCATGACCAAAAGATATGGCTTCCCATCCTAACGGATCATTCAGTATGACCCTTGCTTCCTTATTTAGAAATTTGTCAACAAGGAGCAGAGGGTCGATGGCACATTCACATTACATCATAAGCAATTGGTTAATTCCCTTTTTGGACTTTCTTGACTTAAAAATCATTTCCATATCCAACGATATTCTAATGATGGGAAAAATATTCGCACCATCTTCATTTATCACAACAAAAATTGATTAGCTCTAAACTGCAAAAAAGATTAATTGCACCCGGGTCCATGACATTACATGTGCACCAAATGAATGTCAGCCTTTGTTTTGCGATTTGTGCACAAATCCAAGGGTTGACATCCTTTAGGTGAACATTTAATGTCATGGACTATCTCCACTAGATACTTTCCCCTACACTACACTACAGAAGAATGGTATAGCACGTAGAGACGTGTAGTTTCAATTTTCCACGATAAACATCAATACCATCAACATTTCCACGACTTTAGTTCCACTTGTAATAAAGAAATGGAGGCAAATGCCCACCCCAACCCTCAACCTCCACCCCCGGGTTTAAACAAAACAACATGCATATCAAATGGTACCATAACCACCAACACCATTTACATCCTAATCAACCAAGATTTGCAAATCCTTACTATTATAGCATTTCATTCTCTTTGCCACTATTAGTATACATCATTTACAGAGAGAAGGGAAAATATGAAAACAAAAGGAAAAGAAAGAAGGGATAAGTTCTATGTAAAGTTACCTAGCATATTAGACAAGTAAACTGAATGTTTTATGAAGCATATAAAGAAAATTCTTTCCTAGTTCCAGAAATTAATGACCCCATTGATCTTAACTTCCAAAAAGGTCAGACAATAGGTTATTCCTAAACTTAGAATGACATTGCAAACATAAGATCTTTTTTTTTTTAATCTCCAAATGTCAAATGCCCCAAGCAAGATGCCTTAACTCGTCAGACATCATCTTTTTTTGACAATATATTGTCCAACTACAAGTGGTCTATAGGAGCTTTTGTATATTGAAGCAGGGACAATGAAAGGTGTGAATCCAATCATACCATCAAGGTGTAATGTTTTTCTTCAACCTCTTCTCCAAAGACTAAAATTTAATGAAGTTTCAATTTATAAGATAGTTTCATAGCATGCTGAAACATGTATAAACTCGTTAAGGAAATCCGAACTGAAGTCAGACGCTGTCAAAGTTCTGCTATTCAGTATATTACAGTCCACTCAATCAAGTTTTACGAATACTTTGTTTTAAGCATTTCATCAAATATCTATGTTCTTCTTCAGTAGTATATATCAGTTGTAGTTATGAAAAAAGAAAGCAAAGAGGACAAAAAGGATAAGCTCCATATGAAGTTAAACCTTCCCCTTGATGATTAGATCTTAAAAATTAAATAACTAAACTAAACCTCTTATAAATAACATAAAACAGTGAATCAAGAAATTCTTTCCTCCTTATAGAAATTAATGGTTCTATTAAATTTTAAATGCAAAAAATGTGTAGTAAAATAAGAGTTTTATTTGATCTTTGAATGCCAAATGCCTTAAGAAAGATGCATTGATCATTCCTTAAGAAAGATGTATTGATTTGCTGCACATTATCTTGTTGAAAAAATGTGTTGTCTAAACATGATTGGTCCACTGAAAATAAGGGGAAAACAAGTGTAAATTCAATCAATATTTTCAAGATATATTATTTTGTGCAGCACCCTTCATTTCCCCCAATTTAAAACCATTAAGTTCACTTAGTACGGGAGAAAATTATAGCATGTAGGAACATGTATCTATGCAATTAAAGAAGCCTCCTTTTGGTTTGTGTGATTGCGATTCTTAGAATTCCAAAAATGCCCTCAAACTTGAAAAAATTCAGCTAAAACACTCTCACATTGGAAAATCAACAGAAATGCCTTTAAACTTGGAAAACTAAAAAAAGAACGAACAAACTGTCTGTTCCTTTGACAATTCTACTACAGCGCTCACACAGGCACGCTGTCATGCATGCATCACGTGCGTACAAATACTAGTGGTTTCGTAAAGGAAATCCTCAGATTAATACCCAAATAATGTTTTGTTTGCAAAAAATTGGTAAGCATTTTCTAGTGATGCTGATGGTGTCCCTCATAGATGATCCTTTCATACAGTTTTCAGGGTTAAAAGAATGCAATTCTAAACATCGATTCAAGGGATGTCAAAAAGACACAACTCGGAGTTATTTACAACATGATGCACTGAAAAGATAAGTTTGGTCCTACCATTATAAAGTTGCAATACTGATAGTTTCTTTAACAACGGCAGGGGTTTTAAGCATGAACCGAAATAAGCACAGAATAGGCAACATCGATGCAAAAAAGATTGCACCTTTTCTTCACAGTTCCATTCTCTGATTCATCAAATCTGGAGCTAACCCCATTAACGCTCGCAAAACATCTCCTTTCTCGATTCCCCAATCCAAAACCAACGCCTCTCCCTGCATTAACTCAGTGATCAAATAAAAAAATATGGGAAATATGAAATCTTTAGGTCAAAAACAAATCAAAGGTTGAACTTTTACCATTTGAGTATCTAGCTGGATGCGATTTAGAAGTGGAGAAAATGCGGAGCGATGAAGCTAGGGTTTGATGGAAAGGAGATATGGAGAGTGTTGGAATGCATAGGGGCATTTTGGGAGAAGGAGTTGGTTTTTTGGGAAGGATTTTGATCTTGGGTTCTTTTGGCTGCTCTGAATTTGGTTAGCCTTTTTGAAAATGGGTGGAGGGTGGGAAATAAGGAGGGGAGGGAGAGGAACCAGTGGAGGAAATTGTAACAGGATTTTTTGCTTGAATTTGAATGGTCTTAATTTTTGTTGAAAAATGTTTACAATATTTTTTTATTCGGAGCAGCGCCCTTGAAAAACAAAATGACAATATTTATCTTTTTCATACATAAAGTTTTCTTTTTGTGCATATATACCCTTATATCTGCCACATTGTTCATATATGCCTCTTAAATCTTACTATTGGCAAAATAGCCCCCTCAATTCTCTCACAGTGAGCTTTCCTACCCCTTCTGCTTAAGAATTTTAGTTTCTAAACAAGAAAATACCGCAACATTATTGGTAACTATTGACTTTTTTTTTAACATCATGCGTTTTAGATTGTTATGTTGGAGCCTAGAAATTCTAAATATGAGATAATTGAATGTTTTTTGCAAAAACTAATATTTAAGGTATAAATTTGTAATTATAAAAGATTTGAGGAATATGTAGGCAAAAAACACAAAATTTTGTTGGAAATTCAATTTATTCATGTTGTAATATACCTGTATATATTTTACAAAATAAACTATTAAATCATATTAGACTTTAGAACGTTGAATACATTTACAAACCTAGTGTTCATCTAGAGAAAAAAAGGGGAAAAAACACCAAAGCTTACATTGTTTTGTTATATAAATAAGAACAATGGAGTCTCCACGAAATCTCTTCCGTATAGAGGCCAGAAGTGAGTTGCTCCCCCCATTCTTTAATCATTACCAAATCTTATCTTGGGATGACAAAAGCCAAAATAACAATAATGAAGACGCGACTAGGCAACAAGAAAACTTTTTTTTTCACATAAACACACAGACCAAATTAAGCATCATAAGTTGCATTTTCTTAATAAGCATCAACAAGCGAGAGTTTGTAATTCTCTTCAGCTTACTACTGTTTTAATATTCACAGGGCAAACAAAAAAATTTTAAGAAACAAAATTCACAAGTTCACTACTTCCTCGACAACTGATTTTTCTTTTGCTTGATTAATGCCCAATCATAATGGAGTCTTTTTCGAGTGTATTCTATAATTGCAATTTTTAAGAAAAAGGCCAAAATAATTACATTGTCCTTCAAAGCCAAAGATGTGTTTGGATATACCAGTAAGTTAGAGTCAAATAATATTTTGTGTATATCCAAATTTCGGTATATACATGCACGTAGTCGTTGGATGTTGTTGTAACTAACGCAGGGGATACTCCTCAAAACTTCAATGTTTGCAAAAATTACTCATCTTTGTATTTTTAAATTACTCCTAAAAAAACTAGCATATTGAGTCTTTCTACTATGCCAGCTTAAGAATATTGGCTTTTAAACAAGGTAATGTCAAAATTTATAATAATTTCTAATTGATTCGCAACAATTTCCAATTTAAAAACTAAAATTGTTAATTGAAATGGGTGGAACAATCAATGTGAGAGAACTAAGGGGTAATTTTACAAATCTCAAGAGTTGAGGGACAAGGTTTAGCAGCAGTCAGTAAGCTACACAGATATCCAACCAGGGTTAACCCTCGTAACGAGCTTCGGACATTTGACACCGCAAGTAACTGACATCCCGAAGAAGGGTAGTATGGTAATTTGAAGAAAAACGACTCAAAACTTATTGGGTCCAATCGTTCGTTCCTGTTTGTCGATGTGTTAAAGAAGAGAAGGGGGACGCAGGGAGTGTCGAGGAGCAACCAAGAGGAAAATGATTAAATAAGGTATTTCTTCTTTTTTTTTCCCCTTGCTAAAGTAGAAGAATTATCTCCCTTTAATGTGATTTAAATGATCTGCTGTTTTCATTGCTTAATTTGGGAGTGTTTTACGTGGGAGGATGAAGCTCGAAATTAGGATCGAAGTGAGACGAGCAGAGGAGAAATTATTGGTGGATCAAGGAGAATTTTTCACCTCAAGATTTTGTTCTTTTGTTATTTGAGCTAGTTTTTTTTTTCCTGATTTTTGGGGAAATTTGGGATTTTTTGAGGAAAGGAGGAGAAAGGGGCAGAAAAGGTAACTACACGTAATTTATTTAAGATTTTGAACTTTTCTTCTTGTTTCGAGCGTGGATTTATCTGAAATTGATAGGTATCTGATGGTATAAGTCTCTATAACGATGACAATTCCTTGTAAATTTTATGTTAAAAGGGAAATTTAGTAATTTCTTCAACCAGAATGAATTTAAACTTTTGATTTCCCCCCCTTCCTCTAGAATGGGAAGGAGTATGGAAAGGTATCTGCTGAATCATTAGGTGGAACTGATTTTTTTTATTTAGATTTATTGCCAACACTTGGTTTGTCTTTGATCTGCCTGGAGTTGATTTAAGCTTTGTGATGTTTGTGATTTGTTGCCAAATTAGACCGCGAGAACGCTTTTCAGCTTTTAGAAAATATACTACGCTACGATTGGAGCTCTGTGATCTGCCAAAACCAGTGATATTGCAATATTTAGGTTAAGATGAGGGTATGGACAATTATTTTTGGGATTCTTTTGACGGGCGATATAGGTGATGGCTCCATGTGGCAAATGCTCGCGTCTGACTTAGGATGATAGAGTATGACAAACCCGAAAGGCAAGTAATAGAAGGTATGGACGTGCAATAAAGATGGCATTGACTCTTCGAAGTTTGTACTGTTGTTGTGATCTCTTGGTTGCAGCTCAATTACACAGATTTGGATCCTTTCGTACTAAAAAGTAGTGAAAGCGACCACTGCTTTCGATTACAACTGTTGATTGACAATTGTGATTGGTCGAGTGAAAAACAAAAATGAGTGAATGATACATGGAGGATATTGTCAATATTAGAATTTAGAACGGATAGCAACGGTGTATTGAATGATTAGCAGTCTTTGCCCTATGTTTTGGTGGTGAACAGGATCCACATCCCTAGTTTGAAGGAGCAGGAGATGGCTGTTCCTTTTTTCTTTTTTTTTCAAAAACCGTCTGACTGTGGAAGAAGCTACCAAAACCTAAGCTAACCTGGACTAATCTGTGTTCAGTTTGATCTTGAGTTATCACACTCAGATTTTTGGATTACAATCAGATTGGGTTGGGTAAGTCTTGTTCACATGGATAAAATTTAAGAAACTATGTATATTAATTAAAAAATTCAACAAAACAATTACAGGTGCAAGAAATACAATAAGTAAAAAATTTTCTGGTGATACTCTATGAAGTACAAATACCAAAAATCTTAGAAACTAATTCAGCTTTGTTTAAATGTATCACATCTTAAACATCTAAGGTCAACAAATTATTTAACTTTCTTCACATAATAAGAAGATTTTTTTGGGGGGGTGTGGAGGTGGGGTCTGAGAACATAGAAACTGATGGCTAGGTACGTATATGTACACACACATGTTTGTAAAAGGTCCAACCTGAATTCTCAACAATGCCCAATGTAATTTATACTTCGACTTCGTATTAGATTTGTTCATGTTAACTGACTAATTTGCACCGCCACTTCCAACTATGTGTAATACAAGCGTTGCAAAAATATTCTCTTAGTCCACCGGTGTTTATTTATAGAGAATCAATGTTTAAGTTTTTTGTAATATATGATTTTTTTTTAAATTTGATGTGACCATTACTGAGGATTGATGTAGTTTTGGATTAGCTCTTAAGATTAAAAAAGTGTAGTACACAAAATCTCTTTGCCCATTGATGAAAAAGTACGGTTTGCTAGTGTTCAAAGCAGCGCTATGAATACTCTTGTTCCTTTTTGGTTATTTAATGAGCTTCTATTGTTTCCTATTGCTGATGTCTGGATTCACATTGATTTTCCAAAATTGTGCTTTGTTGGTTATATTCATTTGTCCCTTTTTCATTGCTGCATCATTTCTGTTATACTTCTCTGGTTTTTGTCCACTTTAACTTCTTATTTTTACTATTAGTCAATATGATATTCCAGAGCAATCTTAGAATACTTCTATTAGGTTGAGTGTCTTAAATGGTTCTTGCCTTTGTCCCCACTCAGTGTTCTTTTATCTACATCATTTAGAGACTTAAGTCATTTATGTTTCTTGACACTTTTTTCTTTTTAATTTTGAAAAGTTTTAACTATATAAACGTGCATTAGGGCATATGAGGTTTATATTTCTCATTAATTGTCACTGCCTTCCCGATATGGTGAACCAATAGTGATGGATTTCGCTTGTCCTAATTTTAGCAAAAGAGGTCTCGCTATTTTTGTCTGTGCTTGATGCTGATGTCATCACAGTGGCAACGTTTATTATGATAAAACCACTTCCAGTTAGGTACTACTAAATTTTTGTGCATGTTAAAATGCAAGTGAAAATAATCTTTAATTTTTGGTCATCTTATACTGTGAATAGCTATTTTTTTGCAAAACTTTAGCATTAATTTTATTGATATGATTTTTCTTGCTGTAGTCCTTGTTAAGTTGAATGTATCCAAGTGAAATTAGATTTCGCTATGTCCAGAACATATTTCTCGTATTATAAAGTAATGTAGATCACCACAAGCTTTTGCTTGGTAAAATTTTCTTTTGTTCCTTTCTCTTACAGTATCTCAGAGAGAGACAAATAGCCTAATCCAACGTATTTTTCCCGTGAGATCTTATTGTTAACCTCTCCCCCATTTTCCTTCACTTCTGAGATATCCTGACCCAACCACACAGCCCCTCTCAGTTGCCTTCCTTTTGGAGCATATAAAAAAAATGGCTGAAGACTCTTACACATCATTGCAACTGTTGAAAACTTCCTGTTGGCAGCAACTCGTAGTAGAGATACATGTTTTTCTCATTTTATTTTTGGCCTTTCAAAGGGGCTCTATTGCTATAGCAGACACTGGATGCGTCAAGGGCTCCTGAAAATGATCTTTGATGAAAACAAAGTTGTTTTCACTTTCATTTATTTATTTATTTATTTGTTGTTGCTTCTTGTCCAGTTTTTTTATTCATGGTGTTGGAGCTTACATTTATTTCATGACTTCTCATTTATCTGTTGCATTGTCAATGACCTATCATTCTTTATTGTCTGAGTTTTATCCATAAAGATTAACATTTTTTCTCATATTTATTGGCTCTTTAGAGGGCTTCATGTCTAAGTAGGCATTGAAGGCATCAACTTCTGATAATGATCCTTACTGGAAAATAGGGTTCTTTGTGACTATCTTCATGTTCCTTACTGGAAAATAGGGTTCGTTGTGACTATCTTCATTTGCAGTTATTACTTCTTCTATTGTTTTTTAATTCCTGGTGATGGTTCTCATGTTTATCCTTGTCTCTTTTATCTGTCATATTTTCAATAATTAAATGTTACTTCTATTGCCTGAGTTCTATTAAAAGAATTTTCCTTCTCTTATAAATCTGATCAGCCCTAGTCTTTTCATGCTTATGACCTGGGAAACACCTCATGCAACACATTTATCTTTCTCTTATGTCGATCTGCCTCCTTGAAGATGGCTGTTAGTGATCATTGATCATCTCAAAAGATTTGTATCTGTTGATCTGTTCTTGTGTTTTCCTTGAATATAATTCTCAGCCAGTGTAGCTTACAGAGGCACAACTCATATTTTTCTTTTCTGAAGGGCTGTGTTCTGTATGTCATTTGTTTTACTGTACTGGCATGAATAATCCCATCTTCTGACTTGAGATGGGACTTAACCCAGTTTGTAAGTCATGGGTGGCTCCACTGTAATATTTCAATCATATGCAACCTTACTGAGATTGATAGGCTTTTGTAGACATGGCTTCTACATCAATTAACAAGATTGCATACACTGGAAAGATGGCCAAAAGTTTTGACCTTTCTTTGCTTGAGTTGAACTTTCTGCAGCTTGTTTCATAATTTCTGCTTCACAATTTTGTTCACCTTGGTGACATAGCCGTTAGATCTTGCCTCTTCATTTTATGGTCGAAGAGTTTATTCTGGCTGTTATTTTCTTTATTATATGCTTATTCCTATTTATGCCCCAGTAAAAATTCTAAAATGCTATTAGTTAACAATTAATACAGCCCATTTTTTTCAATATTAATATAGTACTGCAGATCTTCACATCACCATGTCATCATCAGTCCGCTAACTGTGAAATCACTTGTTTGCACTGATGTCAAAGTGTTATGGTTCATTTTAATTTCTTACTAATAAGGGGCCTTGTCTTCTACTTGATTTTCCATGTTTGTAAGCTAGCTATGCCACCATTTAATAATTTATGTGTTTCTTCTTACCTTTTAATTTTGCTAGAGATGATATGATCATATTTAATTAATATTAATTTGGAGCTGAGTAGTGCACTTGAATATTATTACCTTCTGATATAACTGTACGGTTGTTATCTTCCCTGTCTTATCACAATATTTATTTTCCGTAATAACTTTTTTGTTAGTCATATATTCTGCTGGTAAGCACATGGCTGTCCTTATAGGACAACGTGGTTGCATCTTAGACTCAATGTATATTGATTGTAATATAGTCTGGTAGATGTGCTTATAAATTAGACTCGGTCACTTTCAGAGTTGACTCTATGAATTATGCTCCAATCAGATCTTTCTACTTATTATTCCTAGCTACTTAGCTTAAACTCGGGCAACTTTAACCTTATTATGGTAAGTGTTTCCTTCATAATTCTAATGACACAAGAATTTTTTTTATCCTTTTTATGCCATTGAATTCTAAAAACATGAAATGTGGAACAATAAGTTGCTCAATGAGTCAACTCTTTTATCAGTACTGTTACTACTGTATATACTGTATGAGCATTGCCCATATCACATTTTCCATTTATAGTTTTTTCTGAAGCATTATGGCTTTTTATTTTCTGACTTTTGTTTCCGTATGTATACCTAGCATGCTTTCACTGCTGAGTACAACATACATCCTAACTATTATTTCTACGGCCACGCAAGTTTCTAATGCCTCGCCATCTTTTAACTCATAATCCTACTCCTCACCTTCCTACCGACTTCACCTGTGTGGCTGCTTGTTTTACATGAATTCGTACAAGATACAGTCTAGTGTATCTTAGATGCTGTAGAGGATGGTGTTGACTGTTGACCTCATTTGTATACATCTATCTCTCCTTTCCATTGAGACACAGTCATGACAGACACCAGTCACATGGCACAAGAGAATTGCATAGATTCAAATAACAGATACATAAATGGTATGGACATTGCTACACACATACACATGCACATGCCCAGGTATGTTACATTACATGAACCAACTCGATGACTCCTGTCACATGGCATGATGGAATCATGGAAATACAGAGATACAAACCTACGTTATATACATGATGGCAATCAATGCAAACTTTATGTGTCAAATGTACATGTTATGTGTGTCAATGTTTGTGCTGTGTGATCATGAGCAATGAACACATCTATGTTCTGTGCATGTACATATGTGTATGTTTGCATATGGGCAGGTTAGTAGGTGCGGTTCATGTGTGTGTGCGCGCGCAAGCGCGTGCTTATGCATGTTAGCATGCATGCACAGAAGGAAAGTTTATGGTTAGGATTGTGAAGCCCTAACCATAAACAGAAGGAAAGTTTATGCTTATGCATGTGGGTTGTTTATGGTTATCATATTGAGGATGTCTCCTGGATTCGTGCCCATTTATGGCGCAGAAGTAAAGTTTGAGGTATCTTGTGAAGCCTCTCAACATGTTGTACATGGAGGTAGGACATGGTAGAAGCGTATTGTTGCAGCATAGGGGTTGATGCAGGACGATCGTCAGCCGTTGATCATGAATTTTATAGATTTACTAGAATCTTTGTTATTTTATTAATATTTGATGTAATCTCCAATTTTAGGCAAAGATCTCCTTAGGATTTGATTTAGGATTGTTAGGATATCTGAGAATTATTTTGTTAGAGTTGTTTCCTTTTTATTAGGATTTGGTTAGGATTTTGATTTCTTTTCCATGTTTAGTTTTTTCTCTAGAAATAAGGTTGTCATCCTCGATGAGGAATTAGAAAATGATGAATGAAAAATTAAGATATGAAGTTGAGCATGTGAAGTGTCTTTTGGGGTGTGAAGCCCTTGGGTGTGAGGCCCCTAAGTATGAGACCTAGTTATTTATCTAAATTTTCTTCACTTTCAATTCTAGCCATTCGATCTCAACCACAAATCCCCCAAAAGAAAAAGTCATTGTTCACAACTGAACAGTGTCCGCCGCCGCCTTGAGATCCGACACCATTCTCCTCCGATGATACCACAATCCTTCGAATCAAATTACATACCCCAACGACGACCCCCACTTGAATATCGCCATTGCCAAATCTCCTCCGATCGTTCCTTAATGAGTTATGATCACTAGCTGCTAAGACATTACAATACAGCTCTGAAAGTTATCGACGATTGAAAATCTACCGTCTTCTCCTTTTAGATTCCGTTCAGATTCGAGCGCTCACCAAAATTCACAATATCGAGAATCTCGTGTTTTCCCATCGGATCCGGATTGGCGCCGAAAGCAAGCCATTCAGGAGCCATCTAGTTCCAGATCGAGGCCCTCCGCCCGCTCCCTATCAGGGGTGCATGCATATTGGTTGTATTATATTTAACCCACAAAAACACAATATGCCTATTTCTTTTCTAATGTATAGAAACAAAGAGATTTGAATAAGTTATTCTACTAAAATATGGGTTTTCAATCATGGCTTTATTTGGGCTTTGGATGATATTTTTAGACTTCTTTTCTTTTTTGTGGTAAACTTGGTTTGAAGAAATTTAGTCAGGAAATTTTACTCTAGCATAGCAGCTTAGTTGTGCATCTCGCCTGTTTTAGCTTCTGATACTACTAGTTTGCGGTGCGGTGTTTTTGCTACAGTATCCCGCTCTGCTACAGTACCTTTTAAATGCTACAGTAGCTTTTAAATGCTGCAGTATACATGTGTGCTACAGTATACGCGTGTGCTACAGTAATATTTTAATTAATTGTTAGCTACAGTAATAATGCTACTGTAGTATTTACTGTGGTATGAACAGTAAATCTCTGATCCTCCTATTTGTATAAAGGAATAGATTAATCAATGAATATAATCTGAGTTTTCTTTGATGTTTCCTTAAGGTAGGATGTCTGAAATCAAATCTGTAGTTAAGAGGTGGGAGGATATGGAGACCGATGTCCTTGTCAAGATCTTTAAAGAACTAAACATGATTGAGCTGGCTCCAGTCTCTCAAGTTTGTCGTTTGTGGCGGTCAGCTTGTTCTGATCCATTGCTTTGGAATACCCTCGACCTGGGGCTACTGAAATCCAATTTCATACAAACTAGGGCTTCGCCATACATCTGGGTGGATGAAAGGTCTGACAGAAGGCTGAGTAAGTTGCTGAAACTAGCAATGGCTCTCAGTCATGGAAACATTACCTGCCTCATATTCCATTTTAATCTGTACATGAAAGATGATCACCTCAGTTGCATTGCCGGAAGGTAATTACAATTGTCATCTTACTGCTTAATTAAAATGCTAATATTTGTCTAATTTTTTTTTGATTTTTTTTGGTTTCTGTTATATAATTGGAGAAGTACAGGTTAATTTGTTATCAGATAGAAGTTTTTGGTCTTACAATCTCCGAGTTCTTTTTTTATCAATTTTGGTTGTCAATGTCTTTTTGCCATTGATTCTTAATTATTACTTCGATTTTTGCAACTTCTTAAATGTGGGTTGATTCTAATAGGTCACTTTTAAAATAGTACTTGAGGTTTTCCCCCCTGTGTCTATGTAGTTCCATTGCCATTGAATAGTCACTTATATAGCATAATTTCATTTCTCAAAAAGCAGTTAAAAATTAGGTGGAAGAAGTTTTCTTTAAAAACTGGTTAGGTAAATAGCGTTATTTGTTCTAATCTTCAAGTTATAGTATATGGATTACAAGTTTATAGCCCTTAGAAGCACCCACATTAGATACGTCTCTTCTACTCAAAACTTAGTAGATACTGGTCAATCCTGGTGGTGCTTGAGTTGGTGGATGTGTAAGTTCTTGCTCTGATCTATCCTCAGGTTTACAAAATGTGGACATATTACAAGTGTAGCAGAGACTATCAAGTTAAATTTGATGAATAATGGGATTGAAAATCAACTAGTTTGTTGACACATCAATTAAATGGGTATGAGGTGGCATTTCACTTTTGCTAAATGAGCTACCAATAGATAAGCTAGTGGTGAATCCCACATTGCTAGTTGCATAGTAGTTTGGACTTCACCTTCTTATCTCTTGGTAGTCACAGCTCGTGTCCATTACCTTGAATGACAGAGCGTTCCTAAAACTTTATTCTCCTTTAAAAAATGATATTTGTTATTTGGTTGATGCCTAAGTCATTGAAGCATTTGATTTGTCAAACAAATGTCTGACACTTTTACTTAGTGAAGTATGTAGATCAAGACGAATATGGATTATCCTTAGATGGTCCATGGAATTCATACAAGCTTCTAATCAGTCTAAAAGACTTTGAGTCACATCTTAATTTACTCTTGAACTTACTATTGTCTTAGAATTACTTATTTGTAGCTCATTGTTATCTTTTGGGCAAAGGATGACATATGGGTAAACTCCTTGCTTTATGGAGTGAACTATTAGGTGTGTACTCGACTATTCGCATAATATCTGTCTTGAATCTGTATTATTGCATTATATAGGAATAGATGCATGTTATCAGGGAATCTGAGGAAAATCTAACGAAGCAAGTAGAGATCTGTCTGGCCCATGGTCAACAGCTGGTGGCTAGAGGGTTTGCTTCTGATGTGAAACGAGACAGGGGGTCTATTAGAATCAGCGATTTAATTCAAATAATGCATCGTTTCACCAAATTCCATGATCTTTGGCAAGAAATTAAATTCAAAACAACTAATGTGACAGATGGATTTAACAAAATTTGCATCAATAATTATGATAATTCCAATCTCAATCAATTTAACTACAATATTCATTATCACGCACAAGTTCTACAATCAATATCAAATTTTAACAGTCACATACTCAATTACTCTAAACTCAGTGAACTCACAAATATAATCTAAGCAATGAATATATGATAAGAGTTTAGAGATGGAATACTCATGCAATTAACTAATAAAATGAGATTAACAGAAAAATAGAGAGAAAACGAAACATTCGTCGGCCTGAACAAGCTCGACGTGAGGGACCTCTGAAGGTGGTGCGACGACGTCGAACTGGATGACGACGCGGTGGCGAACTGAGCGACGACAACGGCAGCGACTGAGCGATGACAATGGCGGCGAATCTGAGTGACGACGAGGGTGATGGGTCAACTTGTAAACTAGCGACATGGGTGACGAGAGAACGTGGTCAACAAGTGGACGCGGGCGAGACGACAACGATGACTTTTTGAGGTCGATTTGACGGTTTGTGGAGGAGGAAAGGGTGCATGCTCGAGGTGGAGGAGAGCAGAAGTAAGTTCGTCGGGACTGTTCGAAGTGGGGGGTGATTGGCGGGGCTGCTCGAAGTGGAAGAGTGAAGGGGAGGAGGCGACGGCAGAGGTTGTTGGAGGAGGAGAAAAGCAGGGTCTGTTATTTGGGAAAACGAAGAAGAAACAGGGGAGGGTGGCGGCTGTTTGTGGAAGAGGAGCCAGGGGAGTCGACCTAGGGTTTCACACCCGTCGGCTTAGGGCTTCACACCCGTCGGCCTAGGGTTTCACACCTGAGGCTTCACATCAATAATGAGTTAACAATTTTTTTTTCATTGATTCCAATCTTCATTTAAAAATCTGATTACAACAGTCTTTTAAAGAGAAAAAATTACAGATTCTGAAATCCCTCAAATCACTCAAATTGTCATAACTGACTCTACTACCAAATTTGACTCAAAAATTCAAAATTCAAAATTTAAAATTTAAAATTAAAATCTTACCAAAATAGAAAATCCCTCAAATCTCTCACAATTAAAACTAAATTGAGATATGGTCAAACTTGTCAAATCTTCCTTATTCAAAACTAAAATAAAAGAAAGTCAAATAACAATATGAAAAATTGCCATTATTGTCCTCATCAGCTTCATTCGTGAATTTGAGCTATTTATGACCAAGACGGGGAGAAATCTTCAAAAAATAAGGATTGCGAATTGTAGCTTTCGAGCCAATATTTCTCAATAGTTCTGATGATGAGATGATAGTGGTGCCTGATGAGATGGTGAAGACTCCCATCAACCATGGACCAAAGAGATTTAAGATTTTCCATTCGCTTGTCATTGGCCTCCAGGAGGATATATATGTTTCCCTTCCAATATAACTAACAATTCAAGGACTAACATGGCTTTGTGGAATCAACTAAGACAATCAAACCCAATAGTTTCCTTAATATGTTAGGTGGACTTACATGGATTTGTGGAACCAACCAAGAAAATCAAACCCGCTAGCTTCCTTATTTATGTTAGGTAGGCTTGCATCTGGATGAACTCATTACCAACCCCAGATTTTTTTTCTCTTTGCACCAAGGAACTCCAATACTTATATTTCCTTTCAGCACATCCCAATGTCTTAATTGTCTTGATGGGTACATCATTGTTTATTTATGCTTTATCTAATTACTACATTTGAATATAATAACTTGATTTATGTTGCTTTAAAGCAGCTGCCCTCATCTGAAACGACTTGTAATGCCAGCATGGAACCGCATAACGAAAAATGGGATCTGCCATGCAATCCGGAGATGGAAAGAGCTCGAATCCCTGACAATGCCAAGCATTGCTCACCCTCCCTACATAATGGAGGAAATAAGCAGAAATTGCAAAAACTTCTCCTCCCTCAAGATCATGGGCACCTTTGATGTCCAATTTGCTTCGACAATTGCATCCTACCTTCCCAATCTCAAGACCCTAAGTCTACGATGCTCGATAATAACAAAAGAAGCATTGCTGTTTGTTTTAGACTGTATGGACCACCTAGAGGTCCTCAACATCTCACATTGCTTGTTGCTGGAAAACCTTACAACTGCAGGAAGAAAGCAAATTGTTAAGGAGTTGGATCAAACCATTCTGAAGAAGTCTTTGAGGTTGAATGAGTTTTATCATTGCATGAGTTCTTCGTGTGTTACGTGTCAGAGGATGATCAGAGACGAAGGGCTCATGAGGTGGTATAGATATGAGGAGTGGTTTTGGCGCCAGGATGAGGTGGGCTCCCTTGCAATGGGAGAAGATTATGGCAGGTTGTTTGACGAGGGATGTCTCAATCTAGGGTTTAGAAATTGATGGTAAGCTTGATGGTAGATAATATAAGATAATATACTCCACCTCAATTAGAGTGGACTCTCTTAGAATTGTGATATGTAAAAGTAAATTAATAAGAGAGTCGTTAGCCTGTGACGGTTGACAGTGGAATTATTAGTGTCGGGCTTTGTTATGTTGTACTATGAATGTCGTCTGTATCATGAGTGTAGAATGAATAATGAGGTGTCTTTTGACTAGCAGATATTTGCATTGTACCATAAAATATGAAAGTTGAATAGTTCATCCTGACTCGAATAGTTCTCTACACCCATTATTATATGTAGCATATATTAATTTCAAATAATTATTGGTATAATTTAGACCTGGTGGGTTGTCAAGAAAAAAGTAATTTGGAGGCTAAATAAACCGTGTCAGGATAAAGTGTAATAACAGATTTGATAAATCAATTAGCAAAAAAAATGATAACACTGCATCATCTTTTATAATTCATGTATTCTATGTAATTTAAATTTCTTACCTGTATATGTTGAACCACCATACTTGCAAATTTACCTTTAACTTTAAGGTATGTGCTGTTTTGTTCCAATTCTATAGCGTTGAGTTAAAATGCACCCTAAAAGATCATGTTAAGGAACATTTCCAGCACATTTCCAAAAAAAAATTCTCCCTTTTTTTCGGTGACGAGGAAACCTTGGCTAGCACACTCCATTTACCATGGTGATCCTTGGATTCGAGGTCCACCACGAGAATGAGATTTGCCCTACTACCAGGGTCCTTTCCCTAGACAACCAGGGCAAGCGGGGGCCCAAACTAAGCCAAATATTTCCAATTTTCCTTTTAGTTGAACTGATCATGATATTTTTGTATGTTTGTTCAGAACTAACAATTAAGTTTGGGGCATTGTAACTCAACGTGGTAGAATTAGGGGGTAAATTAGAAAATATCTAGATTTTTTAGACGATAAAAATAGGGCGAGAGTAAAGAAAACATACTATGGTCGGGATATTGAAGAAGTATAAAAAAGTGAACATCAAACAATTCATATTTACGAATAGGGAGTGGACCTTGTCGTCACCTAGTGCTAGAATCATAAATGTTTGATGAAAACCATTATACTTCCACAAAAATCCTTGGCATAATATGAAAACAGATACATGTAGGCAAAAAAATTGTCTTTATACCAAAGTCCAAAGCTTGCTCGTAGGACCTCGCATGCGTGCTCAAACTTGCAAGAACAAGCTTGTTCTGCAAGCTCGTCTGATTGCTTGACTCGCTAGCATGAGTCAAGCTCGCCTGATCGCTTGACTCGCCAGCACGAGTCAAGCTCGCCTGAATGCTTCGCTCGCTCACACGAGTCAGGCTCACCTATAGGAAGTTCGCCTGCACGAACCAAGCTCGCCAACAGGGTTAAGCTCAAACACCTAAGGGGTTTGCCAGTCAACCCTGCCTGTCCGCCAAGCTCGTCTGCAAGCTCGCTTGAGCATTCATCATGTACGCAAGTTCGCTTGCAAGCCCGCCAGGCTCGCCTGAGGGATCAAGCAGCTGCTTGCTTGTGGGAGTGGGCATACCCACTTCCCACGGTTCAAGGGGGAACTCCTCACCTATGAGTGGTCATATCCCACAACCCAAGGGAGGGAGTATGGCTCTCCGTAACGATGCATGGTCACATCTCATGATTCAAGGGAGTGGCCATACTTCTCCTCATCTATTTATAAGCCACCTTTGGCTACATGAAAGGGGCTTGGCTGGAAGGGGCTGGAAGGAGCTGAAAGGGCCTGAACATTTTTAGAACCAGGAGATTTTCTTGGCTCTAACTCTTGGCTCTTGGCAATCTCTTGCATTTTTTAGCCTTCTTTATGCATTCGGCTTTGATACTCATCAAGCTCTGCTATTCAAACTCAGTCACACAAGCTTCTACCACGCGCTCCACACGCTAAAGCTCAACCACAATTTCGGTTAGATCATCCAAGGGAAGCAAACTCGACGCAAGCATTCGAGGGAGGCGTCCTATCGCTACCAAAGAACCCACGTTAAACAAGAAGAGCATTCTCTTCGCTTCTATTATAATTTTTTATTCTTGATTTGTAATAAGCAATTCTTATCAATACAAATCTCCATTGAGAACCAAATTTTACACCCTACAGAAAATGACGACAATAGTGGGAGATACTATTTCTTCAAACGAGATGTTGGTGGCGCAATTAGACGAAATTACGGAAGGGACGACAGTCGAGTCTCTCGTGAGTGAGTTTGATCAAGCTAAGTACGAGGAGTACTTATCTTCATCCTCCTCTAGCGGCAAAGTATCTCGCCGATGCCGCAGAGTTGTGCGTGTGGCCCAGCCCCAAGTGGTTGAGGTAGCCGCGCATGAAAGCTCTACCCGAACTATGACAGAGGGTTCTATCTCCCCCAAACCAATCAAGGCCAAGTCAAAGGCTAAAAATACAAGTCTAAGGGCTGCTCGATGGGTCGTCAAACGATCCTCGCAGACCCCTATGCGAGAAGAGACGATGATTCGCATCGGCACGGAACATGCCTTCGCCGTCGACATGAACACTCCTCTCTCAAAGAGAGCCAAACAACGGTGATGATAAGCTCTCGACCGCCAAGAGGCTCAAGCCCTCATCTCCTATGACGGCCTGAATTACTATTCAGGCCTGAAAAAGGCCAAACAAGAGCGCAAAGTTCTCAATTATGCCAAACTAAGCCGATCAGGCAAGCCCTACTCTGTGAGCAAGGTTCCTAATTCTGGCGAACCGCTCAAATCAGGCGGGCTTCACTTTACAAGCCACATTCCTAATTCTAGCGAACTGGGTCGATCAAGCAAGCCCTCTAATTCAGGCGGGTTGCCCAAAACAAGTGAACCCCATCAGGCTCGCCTGATAACCAAACCTTGCCCACCAGCGTTCCTTCACCATAAAGGCAAAGCAGTGATTCGCCATGCAGGCGAACCTCGCCTGAATGAACGAGCGGCTGAAGCTCGCCAGCAAGCTGAAGCTCGCCCGAATAGGCGACCTCGTCTGTCGAGAAGAACTTGTCTGAATTCGACACTCGGTGAATTTTCTAAGTGTTCTCATAAGTCTTCTTCTGAACCTTCTTCGCATGATTGCGTGTTTGGTTCTTCTAACACCAGGGGTTGTCACCATCAACCTACAAGGGATCTCTGGGAATGTTTGACCCGCAAACGCACGATTTATGAGGCGAATCCTTAGTGTCACTGTGAGAGGCTCATTAAAGCAGTACTTGCTGACTGCCAGTGTTCCGAAACACCAAAACCATCGGTGTTCGGGAGGCTTTCTCAGTAGCCTCCAGTCGAGACCTCCTCGTTAGAGACACAATTGTCAGAGGAGATGGGCTGCCGATGATTCAGAACTCCCTGCCACCACGGTTAACGTGACAGGGAGAGGTAAAGCCAAGCATTCGGATTCATCGGATCCGGAATTTTTCCCGGGATTGAAATACCTCCCCATTGAACACGAGGGTGTCTGCCAACACATACGTACTCAAACGGGGGTTATCATCCCATTTGATTACACAAGTTTAGCAGCCGTCTCAGACGATGATGACGAAGTTTTCTCCGCAATGACAACATCTTAAGCCTCAATTTCAGTTTAGCGCAAGCACGCAAAGGTGCACATGGTGGAAGTCCCTAATGAGGTTGCTAGGAGATTTGAAGAGTAACATGCTGCAATAGCCATGCAACAAGCAACCATCAACTCCATGAAGGAGATGTTAGAGCAGCTTCTGAGCAGAAAGAAGAAGAAGAAAGCAAGGACTTCACACACTCCACAAAAATCCTCAAAGAACAAAGGATGGGAGCCTACTCCTCCTCACACGACAGAAGGAGAAGATAACCCCGGATCGTCTTTGGACTTTTCATCCAAGTCATCGTTAACATCACACCACTGACAATCAACTTATCAATCCTCTTTAATAGGATGATAAGTCCACAAAGTTGCTCTGATCGTAATAAATTTCTGTCACGTTAATATCACACCTCTAACAATCAACTTATCGACTCTCTCCAATAAAGCGATAAGTCCTCAAAGTTATCCCGATCGCAACAAATTCCTATCATGTTAACATCACACATCTGACAATCAACTTATCAATCCTCTTCAATAGGATAATAAGTCCACAAAGTTGCTCCGTTCGCAACAAATTCCTGTCACGTTAACAACACACCTCCGACAATCAACTTATCAATCCTCTTCAATAGGATGATAAGTCCACAAAGTTGCTCCGATCGCAAGAAACTCCTGTTACGTTAACATCACACCTCTGATAATCAACTTATCAATCCTCTCTAATAGGATGATAAGTCCACAAAGTTGCTCCGATCGTAATAAATTTTTGTCACGTTAACACCACACCTATGACAATCAACTTATCAACTCTTCTCAATAGAATGATAGGTCCTCAAAATCTTGTTCAAATCATAAGTACACGATTCTATCAAGTTAATATCACACCTCTGATAAAATTAACCTATTGACTCTCTTCAATAGAGTGATAGGTCCTCAAAATCTTGTTAAAATCATAAGTACCCAATTTCGTCAAGTTAATATTACACCTTTGACAAAATCAATTTATTAATCCTTTCCACTAGGATGATAAACCCCTAAATTATTGTTATATTAAAATCACACCTCTAACAGTTAAACCCTCCATGAACTTGGTCTTTCCAAAGAGAAGGACAAGTGTTCACTGTCAAAACGCAAAGGCCAGCCATGCGTCCTAAATTCAAAATGCAAGGGCCAGTCTTGCGTTCCAAATTAAAAATGCAAGGGTCAAACCTGCGTTCCAAAATTAGAACCCAGAGGTCAGACCCACATTCCAAATTGAAAACGTAAGGGTCAAACCAGCGTTCCAAAATCAGAACGCAAAGGTCAAACCCGCATTCCAAATTGAAAATGCAAGGGTCAAACCCACGTTCCAAAATCACAATGCAGAGGTCAGACCTGCATTCCAAATTGAAAACACAAGGGTCAAACTCGCGTTCCAAAATCAGAACGCAGAGGTCGATCCTACGTTTCAAATGCCAAATGCAAAGGTTAGACCCGCATTCTAAATTCAGAACGCAGAGGTCAATCATGCGTTTCAAGCGCCAAACACAAAGGTCAGACCTTGCATTTCAAATTCAAAATGCAAGGGTTAACCATGCGTTTCAAAGGCAGAATCATGGCGTTCACCCTCATACGGGTCTTGTTTACCAAATTTATGCAACCAAATTCATGATGCCTTTGAAATAGACGTAGTAGACAATCATTCAACCAATCCAAGATTAAGATTAA